TGGATACAGGATCGCGACGATTGTGGTGGGTCTCCTTCCCCTTTTCCTCCTCCCTCTTTCTCTCTCCCTCTCTCCACCGGCGTCGTCAGGTGGCCGCTCTCTTCTCTCTCTCTGGTGGCTCTTTCTCCTGGTCTCTTTCTCTGGCACACGCATCCTACCCGATGCCTCGGGCCCCTGCACCGATGGAGGGGGCCCAGCCAGGGCGCACCTGACACTCGGAGAACCGCCTGAAAATCCTGGACTCAGTGCTTGCCGGTCTTCCTCGCGGTCACGATCGTTCAGGATCGATCCTTCGATCAATCCGAGATCTCGATCTTACCCTCGGATCGCCTTCGATAAAAGGAAATCGGGAATTCTTCGGGGCATATTCCGTCATTTTGTAAACCACATTAATCAGACTTTGATAAAAGAACGAAGTGGATATACGATAAACCGATCGCCTTCAATTAATAGAAATCCCCAATTTTTTGCGCCATATCCCGCCATTTTGTTAATCGTGATAAAGAGACGAAGTGGATATATATACATATATATTAAACTAATCGCCTTCGAGTAACGAGAACCGCAAATTCTTTGCGTCGTATTCCATCGTTTCATAATCTTTGATAGAGGGACGAAGTGGACATACATTAAATTAAATTAGAAACTACCCATAGTGAGAGTCCAGCGGATTATTGGCTTTCGATATTAGGTTTGACCTAAAGTGTTATCAGATTCGAGTTTGATTTTTTTCTGGGGGGGAAACAGGAAAGTAGAAAGAGAGGATCGAAAGTGTAGGGAAGTAACTGTAAGTCGTAACGCGATCCGGTGATGAGAGTTTATGTAACCACGGTTTAACTGTATTTACGACTTCCCTCTTCCGGACGTTCTTCTTGTTCTTCTGGTTGGGTCTCATCCGAAGACCAGATATCCATGTAGCGCATGGACCACTAACGAGCGTACGACTGGCTCGATTTAATTAAAACAATAAGACTGCAAAACCGCATTAGGTTAGTGTCGAAGTGGCTTTGGTGTTACGTGGCGATACCACCGCGATCGAAGTGGAAGTCGTTCCTGAAGAGCAAACGCATCGTTTCCGATCCATTGCAAGAAGACCATAAATAGACCTCTTCGTGTGCGTTCCGTTATCGTGAATGAGTCCATTGTGGAAGTGAACCTTGAAGGAGAGAAGCGTATCTCGGAAATGCAAGCCTAAGAACTAAAAGAGACGATACGAGGAGATAAAATCGTTACGAGCGTCTTCGAGGTGTTGATAGTCCAAGAAGAGGACCGCTAAAGATCATCGCTTTGGAGAACTGAAAGAGATTTTCAAATCAGTATTGAGATTTAGAGAAAGAAATAGAGAGAGAGGGAAATCAGTTAGAAAAAGAATAGGAGGTGGAAAGAGGCGAAGACCTTGAAGAAGTACTCGAAGATCGGAGGGCCGCTGAGATGCTTAAAGTCGGACCCAAGAGATCAAGGGAGGCAGAAGAAGCGAGGCATCTTCGGTGGAACTGAAGGGGATTCGGTAAATTTTAGTCTGGAACCGGTTGCGGTTCCTCAGAGACTCTTTGACGAAAGTTGAGGTAAGGTTTCGGCACCATGTCGGCCACGAAGGGTCTGACGAAGATCTCCAACACGACCAATGGCCTTCAAAAGCCTGGAGTGAACGTCCTGTGGTCGTCCAACGGTCTGTCCAAACTGTCCAAGGCCAGAAGTAGTCCGAACGTCTCGAAGATCAACAATTTAACAACCCTGAAGACGTCTTCAAAGGACAGCCAGGAGAAGACCAGTCCCACTTCACAATGCACAAAAAAGCAGAGCCCTAACGCATCCAGCAGAACAAACCTGAGCTCTAAAGCTACAAATCGCGGTTCCCCAACCACCAAACCCACACAAAGCCACGTGACGATCGTCCAGATATCTTGCGGTACCCCAGAAGTGGGTACCACCAATCGTCAGACACTCCCAAATAAGACTAGGTCATCCCAAGATGGCACCAAGTCCACCACCAGCGCTAAAATCGCAGGGGCCAAGACTGAGAGCAAGAAAAAGCTTAAGGACACCACGTCCTGCACGATCCTGGAGGACAGAGCGTTGCTGAAGAAGGGCTTGATGACCGCTCCAGAGAAGCTGCCCAAGAAACCGGACGCGCTGCGCAAGAAGAGTCTCGGACGCTCCACCAGCATGTGGAACGTTCCTGTAGACTCCGAGACCAGCAAGAGCAGTCCAAAATTGAGTCCTGAAGATCCCAGGAGAGAATCCACCCAGAAGAACACAAGGAATTCGCTGAACAGGACCACTAGTCTTTGGAACGTGCCCTCCGATGGCTCTACAGGTGGCAGGATGTCCAGGACCAAGTCCATCTCCGGTCTCAGACCCAGTAGGATTCCGCTGCTCACTCAGCATTTTGGCACCCAAAATGTTCAAGGCCAATCTCTCGCCGATCTATCTTCCGTAGATCGCAGCGTGGAGAAGACCAGACGCAAATCCAGAGACCTAGAGGAAGCCAGTCGCTCGATGGGGGAGCACATCTACGAGAACTGTCGCGAGAAGACGACGCCGGGCAAGGACGCAGAGAAGGTCCTCGAGGTGGACCCGATTTACGAGAATCTGAAGGACTCCGGGGAGAAACGGGATTCCGAGCTGGGATCACCGACGAAGGAGCCGGATTTGGCGGGACCAGTTCCTGATGACATCACGGACTTGGAGAAGAGAGCCGAGCAGCTCATGGCACAGTTGGACGACGAAGAGGATAAGCCTTCCAAGGTCCTGGATAAGGACGCCGAGATAGAGATCCAGTCCCTTGTGACTGCGACCAGGGTCCTCTGCCACGGATACGATGACAAGGACGAAGTGGACTTCGCAAAGGCTGAACGAACTCCCTTGAAGAAGGTCTCGGATCGAGAGTCCTTACAGAAATCCCGCAGCATGGCCAAGAGTCATGAGAGCTTGCTGAGGAGGGAACCAGAGTTGAATATCAGAGAGATTAGGAACAACTGGGAGAACCAGATCAAGCGGAGCCAAGAAACGGTCGGCGATGCGAGGCCGAAGGTGGAAGTCGGGCAGACCCCGAAGAAGCGGCAGGAAGAGAAGGAGCCGACCAAGCCTGCGGCCACGTTGAAGAGGACCAAGGACATCGAGCACCTGGTCAACTTCTTCAACTGCAAGAATACCGAGATCTCTGGAGCTGGCGTCAAGGAGACCGGGTCCCAGGACTCGTGGACCAGGAGCAAGGACTCCGTGCCTCCCAAGATCAAGGACTCCAGGAAGGACGACAAGAGCAGCGGCTACGCGTCCGATGGGAACTCTTCCGAAGACAGTGGTCACATGAGCAACGAAAACGACAACGAGTGGAAGGATCACGAAGTCATCCCGACGCATCGCGAGGATCTGGGGAGCCTGAAGAAGAGCGAGCGGTTCCTGAAGGAGATCATCGAGGATCTGGATAATAGCCTAGAAAGGACTATCGAGGTCTTCGAGGCGACGCCGATTGTGCAGCGGTTCATCCCCGAAGAGGAGAAGAAGTCGGTGGAGAAGAGTCTCTCGACTTCTAGCGGGGCTAGTAGTATCGATAGCTGGAGCGAAGGGCGGAAGATCGGCAGGAACGAGAGGAGGAAGTGCTCTTCGGGGTCGAAGGTGAAGGAGACCTCCTGCGCCCCTGGAAAGGAGACCACCAGCAGGCAACAGGTTACTTTTAAGCCCCCATCCTTGGCCACGGAAAAAGGCTAATTTATTGCGAGCTCGGTAACGTCACCGTTAATCGCATTCCTCGATGTACCGACCGAGCAATTCGATTACGCGTGACTCGGGTATCGCTTTACTCGCGGTAGAATCTCAAGATTGAATTACGCCCGGGAAATATTTAGGGTTATCGGCGATACTTGCACTTGGCACGGTCGTATCTTCTGCCGTGAGTTACGTTACTGCAGACCCATTTCCGATTTCCGGTTACAGGGGACATGGTTTAACGATTTACTTCGGATTCGTGAGTCTAGGCATGGATGCTGGAATTCAAATGCATCTCCAAGTTTTCAGTCGTAAATTGACTTATCAGAACTACCGGAATAATAATTTTTTTTTATTATTAATTTTGTCATCGTGTCCTTCGCATTTCTTCAAGTTCTACGGTATATATAGTCTCCTATATCCTTTACTTACCAGAAGGAGCAGTTTATTATTTTTCTTTGGTTCTTTCGATTTTCTGTGTCTATCTTAACTACAAGTTACGCCTTATTTACCGAAGATACTATTTTTTGCGCGAACTCATGTACACTTTCCATTTCCTTCTTAACTATGAGTTCCTTTCAAGTAACCTCAAGTTTCCCTGTATGTATGGGACAATGACACCCACTGATTCATCTTCCTTCCAAGTACGGAACAATGGCTTTCAAAAGGTTAAATGGCGCTCGTCTATCTGTTTTACGGCATGTAGAAAATGCAGGATCTATGCATATTTATGCAGCCGATGTAATCGAAGGCTATCGTGCCATCGACACTGGGAACTGTGTCGTCGTTATTGTGTCGTAATGATTGGCAGCGCGGCAATAAGTGCGAAATCTGATAATAGGCTTGAAAATCCCAATCTTGGCTCGGTTATAAAATCAACGATTTTGGCCTTGAACTGCTTCGCTGTTCCGTAACACCGCAACGAGCAATAATTGGATTAGCGTTGCCCCACTAATCTAATTGAACCTGAATACTTGCGCGATATTGTAGACGTGTTGCTCGCCGTCAGAAGCTTGACTCAACGGACCAGTTTTTACCCCGAGAAAGAAAATTCATTGAACCGATGAAATATTTTATTAATTCAAAAAATAATTATTTGACTCAAATAAACGCGAATGACATCGTCATAATTCCATCCAATATATTCAAGATTGAGTCGAATTCTTCGAATTAATGAAGTATTTCTTTGGTTCGATTTTTTTCCCTATAACCCCTCCATTTGAAACAATATGCCTAGGGCTGGTTTTATTATTCGCAAGTATTTATTAATCTTCATTTATCTCTTTGCGCAGATATTCTTCCGATCTGGTGCTTTGGAACGTCTGGAAGCTCAGAGGGATGAGAAACTCACGGGTCATATCATACTTCTTCAGGCGAGATGCAGGGGATACCTTGCGAGGAGGAAACTCAATACTCTCAAGGTAATTTCATGATCAATTAAAAAAAAAAAATTAATTGAGCCGTGCAACAAATATCCACATCATTTTACTGTGGACTCGAGTTAGTCATCATTGGTTTAACAATCTTTTTTTAATGTCCAAAAAATGATGCCATGAAAGTAGCATTTGAGGAGTCAACCGTTTATGACACTTTTCTCCGAACTAGGTGTACTGAATTGTTTGAAATTTAACCACGTAAATATGAAAGCACTAAAGGAGTTCCTGACACTCATGAAATTCTATTTTTTATATAAAATATAAATAAATGAACGCTTATAAAGAAATAAAAAAAAAAGAAATGAAATTTCCGGGGTATGAGGACCTTTCTCGGAGCCTTCATATTCACGTGATCAAATTTCAGACAATTCGGCACTTCTAGATGGAAAAAAGGTTTCATAAACGATTAACCTTTCAAGTGCCACTTTTAGACCCCCTTAATATTGATATTTCTAGTTTATGACACTTTTCTCCGAATTAGGTGTGCTAAATTGTTTGAAATTTAACCACGTAAATATGAAAGCACTAAAGGAGTTCCTGACACTCATGAAATTCTATTTTTTATATATAGCATAAATGAATGAACGCTTATAAAGAAATAAAAAAAAAAAAAGAAATAAAATTTCCTGGGTATGAGGACCTTTGTCGGAGCCTTCATATTCACATGATGAAATTTCAGACAATTCGGCACGTCTAAATAGAAGAAAGGTTTCATAAACGATTAACCTCTCAAGTGCCACTTTTAGACCCCCTTAATATTGATATTTCAATCTGTAATTTTTTTGGTCAATTTTGTTCCCAATATTCTAAATTGATTTGTCCTCACTCTGTATTATCTTCTAAAAATTCTGAAAAAAGGCCTAGTTTAACCCTTTTAGTGCCGGCTGAAGTCGTTAGCACTTGTAAAACGGTATTTCGCTGTTCGGCACTAAAAGAGTTAAGTAAGTCGATCTCGGAATTAGGGACATAATTATTAATCAATGTTGCAGTTGCAAGACTTGGCGGTCAGGTGCATTCAGAGGAACGTGAGGAAGCTGATGTCTGTTAGAGAGTGGCCCTGGTGGCGGCTTTACGTCAAGGTAGCTCCTCTGCTCAACGTTCACCGCACCGAGGACCAACTGAAGGCAAGGACGGTAAGTCAATGAAGAAACCCGACACCCTGAAGAGAATGCCTAAGAAAGCATCTCGGGTTACAGAGGGTGGCCCACAGCTTCGAGTTCGGTAAAAGTGGGCGCATTTTCCAAAACCTATACTCGCCAATAATCAAATCGGCTAAATCCACTAACCTCGAGATTTTCATCTCCGAAATTGAGGGCAATATCACGAATCCTGAATAATCGATTTACACCCGACGACCGGTGATAAATATTTACATCAGAGAAAAGGAAAGAGTGAATTCCGAATTCCGTAGCTGGAAGTCTGGAGGCGAGTTCTCGGAATTTGTTTACACTTTCAAGGCTGTTTACAATTCCAGTCGCGACTAAGTCTAGCTTAAAGCCGGTCCTTGGCATTGTACTCGGTCGATTTCACTGCTGGCAAGTATCGATTTGTCGGACAGAATTCCTTAAGCTTTATTTAACGTTCGATCATGCGGTGGATTTCACCTCGGGCTGAAAGGGGAGTACTACGGTCATTCAAATACGATATGTCGTTAAACTACTCTTTTTAGTCGTTCTCTGGCGCGGTGCCAAGGTACATATCATAACCATTCTACTTATTTATAGTAGACCCTCAATGAACTGAACCGTCTCGTTTCGCTCAATGAAGGCTAACCTTAATATTCGGAGGTCCGAGTTGATTATTCGGGTACACTGGCCATTCATAAATTAATTAACCAGCGAATTTAATATCGAATGCAACTATAAACGAAAGAGTACTGCTGTGCATTCTGTCGATGGGGAAACAGCTGCCAAGCCGAAGTTGTTCGAGTCCTCTTCGGGTTTGCCAAAACCTTGTCGTTTTGCTGGCGCCGTACCAATTAGTTGGTCTCGTTAAAGGCGGTCAACGTAGACTTCCGGTAGCACCTAGCACCTTCGGAGACCTAATTCGAGCTGCGAAATTGCCACTCTTTGCAGACCTACAAAGAGAAATCCAGCTTTTACCCCGAGAAAGCAATTGTTTTTTTTACTATCAAGGATATCATTTCTTTGAATGGAGTCAAAGAAACTATCATAAAATCATATTACCTTCGCTACAATACTGTCGAATGTTTTACACCGACGCATTGCATTGATCGAACACTTCGTACCTTAAAATAATGAAGTAAGAAATCAGAACTATTTGTTTCGATCCTTTAATTCCACTCAGAGAAGTAATTTCCTTGATAGAAAAGAAAAGATTTCTTATTCAGATATTTGTCCCTCAAGTTAATTAAATGAAATACGGTTTCGTACCCAAGGAACCATTTCTTTCGATAGACCGGATGAAATAATTTAAAGTATTTCATGTAACTGAACTGGTTATACTTTCGAAGAAATTTGCAAAATATTATCGGTTTTTGGAATGATAAAGAAATATTTCTTTGGGGTAATTACACGTTCTTTCTACCAGAGCCCTGTTATTAGGTCGAAATGAGCATAATAAAGAAATAATGTCCTTCGAACGAAAGGAAATGATTTTTATCGGTATGTATCCCTTTTCAAGGGAAGAAAAAAGAAATGTTCCTTTGGCTCCTTAAGAGCCAGCAGCCATTTAATTCCTCGACCTAGGGCAATTGGCCGGCTTCCTGAAAACGTAGAATTTCGAGGAAACTTGGCACGAGCTCGCACGAAATTATATTTCTGTCCCGTACCCAATGACGAATGCTTTTTCGATGTCCAGGAAGAGCTGGAGGTCCTCAGGGCGAAGGTGGAAAGACTAGAGCAGGAGCGGAATCATCTGAAGCACGACAATGACAAGTTGGAGGCGAAGGTGAGTCCCGAAGTAGTTTCAAAGTCTGTTGTAAGAGTACGTACAGGAAGGACGTGCGGTTGGAGGCCGCGCACTCTTCAGGGTTAGAGGATCTTTTTTCGATCGCTGGCGGCGGTCCAGTGATCTATAAAAATTCCTCACCGAGACCGATCGTCCCCTCGGAGGAGGAACCGAAGTAGCTGGACAGGAGTAGAAGCGACCATTCGTCGTCTTTGCGACTTTGGCTCCCGGCCAAAGATGGCCACCCTGACACGCCGTCACAATGGGAAAGGCGTTGACGGCGAGCTCTTGGAAGCGCATTTTTCCCCGCGTTCTTTGAATCCCTTTCCCTGCCGGGAGATTTTAGTTATCATTGATGCCGAATCAAGGTAAACGTGTAACGTGGGCTGGTTGAACCTCGTTCCGCGAAGTTCCAGGCTCTGCGTGAGGCATTGTACTTAATGAAACCACTTAGAAGTTAACCACGAAGAGCTAGTTGGGATTGCTCGGAAGAGGTCCAGCACGAAGAGCGTCGGGGTTTACGATCAGCTGCTTCCAAGATTTTGCCTTAGCCCTGTGGTGATTGCGCCTTCTACTTTCGAGGAGGCCGACTCCTCGGTTAACTTCGGTATATGGGTTTCTTCATGGGTCCCGATATTAACTCCACGCGATCTTACGATTGGTCTTGAAGTAACCCCCAGGGTAGACGATCATGCCTGCCTGGAGAGATTGCGTTTCTGTAACGGAAGTGCCCTTGATTGGAACTGCGGAATTGGAGACCCTCTCTCTGCACTTCTTCGTGCTTAATTCTTATCTAATACGAAACTTCGTTCCGAAAGATGTTTTTACGGTATACTCAAAATCTAACTTCTATTCAATTTATGACAATTGCTGGTCTTCAATGACGAATTTGCATGACACCTGTATGGCGTTGATCTTTTACTGCAAAATGTTTCTAGACCCCCCCAGTGAGATTGCGTTTCCATAATGGAGCCTCTGATTAGAACATCTCAATCGTGAAGATCTACTATCCTCCCTATAGGTTTCAAATATTTATTAAAGAAATATTTCTACTTCACATTAAAAAAAAAAAAAAATACGTTTTATAAAATGTAGACAGTTTGAGTTCTGGCTTGCATAGTGTTGAATTTGCGCAATTCTTGCTTGGGTATATTCATGGATTTTCACCGAAAAAAGAAGACAATCATATCTGACTATCGAGATTGTTTTAGTAATAGAGGAGGCCTCGATTAGCATATCTCAACCCTGAAGACCTAGTTCCTCACTCTATGTTAATTTTAATAGACATTTACGCTGTGTATTTAATACTCCTTTAGAGTCCCGCTCTCGGTAGGAAATAAGTCCGAGAAAATATTTTGTATATTAAAACATTAACCGCCCATCAATTTCATCGTGGTTTTTGGCCATCACTGACCTGCGCAATGCCGAATTCGAGGGATGCTGGACGTTCTTTGAAAATTGACACCGAATTGGACGACTTCCAATGGCCAATGCCGAGTCGGATCTCTCTTGGATCCGACTAACTAAATATTTATTTATTTAATATTTAGTTATTTTCAAGCACTTAGTTATTTAGCTATTTTAATATTTGATTATTTTCGAGCATTTAGTTATTTATCTATTTTAATATTTAATTATCTTCGAGCGATTTCTTGACCGAGGAGCGTCGAGGAAGGACTATTTCGGAGAGATCGTTTACTCCGATCTCCTGCAAATTAACTTTCCCAGCTGTGAACGTGACAGGCATCGACCTTTTAGCTCGGAGCAAAGAACGCCGGTCGAAATCAAGGCCACTGACCTTCTCCTGAGAAAGAGAGACCGTAAAAAACCGCGAATTGCACCTGTCTCCCATAAAGAACTCTCGAAGAAGGTGGAGCCAATAGGGAGCGTTTACGCTCACGGTTTTATACCCTTTAAAGTATTTCTCTCGTTTTTCTCCCGAGATGATTTATCTCCCAAATTTGCGCGCTTAAATGTCGCCTCGGATGTTTCATTCCCTCGTCAACGTTGCCTCGATGATATAATTAAAGGGAATTTCTCTCGCTCGAAAGTTGCTCCCAATTCTTGAATAGAGAGGTTTTTTTTTGTCTTTATTAAGGTAAAGCGTTGGTTTCGATTTTTAAATTATTTGTCGCAGAGATGAGTGGTTAAATGTCGTTTCGAAGGGTTCATTCCAATATCAATGTTGCCTCGATGATATAATTATAGGGAATTTCTCTCGCTCGAAAGTTGCTCCCAATTCTTGAATAGAGAGGTTTTTTTTTGTCTTTATTAAGGTAAAGCGTTGGTTTCGATTTTTAAATTATTTGTCGCAGAGATGAGTGGTTAAATGTCGTTTCGAAGGGTTCCTTTCAATATCAATGTTGCCTCGATGATATAATTATAGGGAATTTCTCTCGCTCGAAAGTCGTTTCCAATTCTTGAATCAAGTGAAGTTTCCTCTTTTGTCAAGATAAGGCATTGGTTTCGATTTTTCAATAATTCGCCGCAGAAATAAGTGTCTAAATGTCGCTTCGGATGTGACATTTTCTGCCTAATGTCACCTCGATGATATAATTTAAAGGAATGTCTATTCGTTCGAAAGTCACGTCCAATGTCTTGAATCGAGTGAAGTTTCATGTTCATCGGTGTAAGACATTGATTTGAATTTTTGAGTAACTTGTCGCAGAGATAAGTCGTTGATAGCATTTGATACCGACATTTGTCGAGACGCGACAAGTGTCCAGAAACTCAGATCGCAACAGGAATGCTGGATTGTCCGTTTTGGTATTCGAAACGCGTGCTGCAACAATCGGGTTAAGTGCAAGCACTCGTACACTCACAGGTACATTTGCTTTAACGTGCATATCGAACGAGCAACGGACGGCGGGACGATAAAACGCTTTGATGTGGCGTTAGACAAAAGTGCCAGTGACCCACATCCGGCCATGCCAGGAGAGAAACTTCCGACCACTTATGCAGTCACGAGAAGAGAGACGAAAAAGGCATTCTTGAACAATCGAAATCTCTCTTCAAGTCTCGAAATTCTTGGGGATGATATATCACATCAAAACGCGAAATGATGATCACGATAAAACCCCCAAAAAATAGAAAATATCACCGTCATATCATAAAAATCAAGAAGACTTCCCGACATATTGTCAAAAAGTAAAGTCCACGTGAATTTGAAACTAGAATCGTTGACCTTGCATTAAAGTTGTAAGAAAAAAAGGGTCTTAAGTATTCATGGAATTCGTATAATATCGTCCCCGAAGAAAAATCGTAAATGATATAAATGTAAAGTTTGCACCTGAGGATTAATCCATTGAGAATCTCCCGTTTCAAACGACTTCACCGAAGAGAATTACCGAGATAATTAATTGAACATTTATTATCGAAGAACCTACGACCTTCGACAAGTGAAAAATCTATTTATATAGTCCCAAGGATTCTTGTTCGATGTTAACGCGATATGGTCGGATTTCATGATCGTCTTACCCGCTGAAAAAAAATCATGTAACAACTAATACACAATGTACCCGCTCGGCGTACATTGTGTATTAGTTGTTATATGAATTTTTTTTAAAGATCAGGGGGATTACTTTGCGTGCCACTGTACCCCCCACTCTTCTTGGGGTATATGGAGGGAAGAGGTGTCGGCGGTTCCCGGAGGTACAGGTCCCTCCTTCGAGGTATCGTCCCTAGATTATCGAGAGGATGTAAATAGACGGCTGCATCCGTCCCGGAGTCCCTTCCTCGTGGTCCATTCTTCCGGCGTTTTTCTCCATCGGCGCGAGGACTTGGCCCGGGTCCAATCCCGTCTGCTCCCTCTCAGAATAACTTGGAGGTGACCACCTCCTCCGCATGGCACACACCTCAGGATAGACCGGGTGGCTGGCGCTAGTTGCGTCGTAACTCCTGGTCCGTGCGGTCCTCGGGGATTACGCAACTGTTGCACGAAAGATACGACCACGACAACACCGACGACAACCACGAAAAGGAAGAACCGACGGGAAGTGGACGATTCGCCAAGGGGGGACAAGGGGATCGAAATCCGGGAGGACGTCAACGGAACCCCAGCGTCACCACCAACGAAGATCGGACCGAAAGCCCGGTAAAATATGGGCAGCTGGCGGTGAACGATGGACCATTCTCCGGATATCAAAAACCAGCTAGAGGCGCTATCACTTCAAGGAAAGACCCCGGTGAAACCGGAGAGGAACCTGTCCAGCAACCCAATTTAAAGCCGAGGATTCAAGAAGTGGATAGGCTCTCCAGCAAGTTTCCTGTTGATCACTGGGAACTGGTTGGGGGGCGACTGAGTTTTGGACTATGATCCCTGCTGTGGTTTTATCGAGCTAGAGAGAGGGATTGACGGGGACCGGAGGAGAACTCGGTTGAAGGACCTGGGATCCACGAAGAGGATGCGTCCTGCCATGTATCCGTAGGTGATTTCGCGTCGATAGCAGGGATGAGACCGGACCGACCGGGGGTTCAGCCGACCAGCACCATGCTTCTTGTGCCGACCACCTGCCCGAGGCCCGTGGTGGCCACTTTGAGCGGTTCGCTCCGGTAGATGTCCAAAACTCCCTGGAGGCACCATCATCCACCGGCAAGAAGAGGCGGTAAATCCGGAGGAGAACCTGTTTAAGAGGAGCTCGCTTTAAAATCAATGATCCAGCGAAGTAGATAAATCTCCCGGCGGCTTTCACGATCGGATTCCTAGAACGATGGTCTTGGACCAACGCTGAGTCCAGCACCGAGTCCAGCACCATGCCTCTCGCCCCGACCACCTTCGTGGGCCCCATGCCGGGTGCCATGAACGGCTCGCTTCGGTTCGACCCGGCGATGACCCCCAACCACTTGTCGCAAGCTTCTGGCAGCTGTCAGAACGAGCAGAGAGGCTCGTCCGAAAGGTCGGGAGCTGGAAGTCTGACCCCTCCTGGCATCCGGAACCACCTGCCACGCAGGTTGCCATTTCCTATGATGCACTTCCAGGCGCGGCCCATCAACAAGCTGGCGATCCTGAGCGGCAGCTCAGGACCGAAAGTCGTCAGCAGAAGCCCATCGCCGTGCTCCTCCACCAGCACCAGGAGCCGCGGAGTCTCGCTCTCCTTGGGCAGATCCCTAAGGTCCTTGAGCTCCCTCGGATCATCCGACTCTCCCACTCCCAGGAGGATGTTCCCTCAGGAGTCCTGCCAGGCAGACTTGGACGACATCTCCAGCAAGGAGAATGCCCCGGTGGTCTTCGATGCGAGCCTCAACTTCGTCTTGGGCATCGACAAGCAGAAAGTTCGGCAGTCCTTCACCCCAACTGCTGCTCATCTGGAGCCCAATACTGCGTCTTCCCAGCTGTCATCCAGGATCGCCCAGTTCCTGCAACGCACTGATCATGTCATGGACGAGTGGAGGAGGCTTGGACACAAGGATGACGATATCAAGAGTCTTGCCTCTCTGCCTCCAAGTGGGAAACGCACCTCCAATGTGGGCAGGAGTCGTAGTGCCACCAACATCATGATCAAGGGATTCCAGATGTACAGCAAGGCCAATAGCTTGGCTAGGAGTCCTTCCAAGTCTTCTAGGATCTCGGAGGATGCCACTATTTCCGAAGAGGACAGGACTCTGTCCGAGTGTCCTGATGATGAGGTACCTCATGCGTGGACTTGGACTTGTCCTGACCTCGAAAACTGCCTCCAGCTCGGAACTCCGGAAAGTCACGGTGCTCTGATTTTCTGAGATTGCTCGGCATTGACTTACCATTACCCTATTATTACGTTACGCTCGATCGCCGGATTACGTGATCGGGAATCGTGTTTCCTAGTCGTTGCGGAGGAGCGGTACGTTCCGGAGGGTTGTTACGCGACCAGGTCTAGTTACTTCGCTCGGGTCTCGATGCGGCATGTCGAAGGATCCTGTTTCCAGGACTCATCCTTAAATCTAGGGACATTGGTGCCTGAAAACAAATTATTCATCTCCTCCAAAAATCCGTATCTTATCCGCACAGTTTTTATGCGCCGCCGAGATGTAGGGACATTTTTTACACCGAGGAGAAAAAAAGAAATTCAACCAATAAAACGTTTCCTTCAATAGTACTAAAGAAATATATTTTCAATTCAGGGAACAATTATCTGGCTGAAATAATTTGTCAGGATCCCGAAGAAACGTCGCATCCAATTAACTCGATTTTATTTGAGCTAATTATTCTTCGTATTAACAAAGTTCTTGGCTTTGCTTCAGTTCGTCAAAAAATCGTGTATAAATTTGACTGCATTGTCTTCTTTGTACTCGGTCTTGAAAAAGGTGGGGGTCCATTTTCTGGGGTTTCCTGGGGCAGCATCATTTTCCTAAAAATAGAAATATATATTCTGGACCGCACGGGTCTCCATAGACGTTCTTCACAGAGGAGATCTCAGCTCACGTTCCTTCTCTTTTCCTTCAAATGGCCGTAATGTCTGTAATTCGAGCTCCCTCGATCCGGGCCGCTACATCAAGCAATATTGGGTCTTGCTCGATACGGCAGTCTTTTCTCGCAGAGTCTCGTATCTGGAAGTGTATCGGATGTCTGAAGACTTTTAGCCTATAATCTTGTTCGAGTTAAAGGATAGCGTGACCTGATCGTCGTTTTTGAGTCAATCAGCTGATATCGAGAGGGAGGTCCTCCAGGGTACTATGTAAGATCTCCACTTCGATTGTTCTGCTTTTCGACTTTTTTTTTTTTCCCCCAATCATCCAGTTAGCTACTTTCTTCCGGTGAGGAATCCCTTTCGCCTTCGATATTTTTTAAACACTTGGAATAACCATTCTCTTTCTTTTTTTCTCTTTTTTCACGTTGCAGTTGAGCGAGATGACGGCGGACTTTGCCGAGGAACACTCTACGTCGACTTTGGCAGCCGAGAGAATCGACGCCGAGACTTCGGAACGAATTCGGCTGGAACGCGAACTGCAAGACGTGACCGAGTCCAACAAAAATCTCCAACAGACTACTGAGAGATTGGAAATGGAGCTTTTGTATGCTCGGGCTGCCGATTTGAATGGAATCGCCTCCGATGGCGAGGATGGAGAAGATGGAGGTGTCTATAAACAACGATACGAACACGCCATTCGGGAGCTCGAGTTCACCAAACGGAAAATGGCTCAGCAACACGAGGACGATTTGGAACAACTGGTCGGACTGAAAAAACAGCTCGAGAAAAAGGTCAGGAAATTATCTCAGATCCATGAATTTTTCTAATTAATTCAATGTCGACCATGGAGAAAAATCAATGAAATGAGCAAACTCGCAACGTGGTACAATATTAATACACTACAGTTCATGTAGCGGCTACGTATTGGGAATATTGAAACGTGAACATTTTGATTTATTATTTCATTCAACATTTTGATATGTTGAATGTAATATTTATTGAGATGTGAATTATTATCTCAGTTCAATATTTGCTGGTGATGAATAATGTTAGATCGATATTATATCAGTATATTACCAATATTCCTTACTACCGGGGAAAGGTCAGGAAATGATTTGAAGCTTGTGAAATATTATTTCGAATACGAGATATTAAAATGTACATTGGGTAATGTAAATTATTAATTTATATAGACTTAGTCATGCATATTCACTTTGGTAGAGCGGCGCTTTGTTTTTAAATTGTTATTGTACTATTAGTCATCCTGGTTCAGTAGAGAGAAATAAGGTCGTGCTAATCTAACAACCCGTTCATCATTTATCACTCGCACTATTTGTCGATATAATTCAGAATACAATGGCCAGCGTGATTAACACTCGTAAGCCATTACACATCCATCATACCGTGGATGATGAATGGTTGCTAATTCCACGCCGCCATAAATTCATAAAGTCTAATTGGATGATTATGGATACCTAGGTGAGCGACAATTGGTGAACCGGTTTAATAACTTGTAGTAAGCTCATTATAAGCCAAGAACGGTATAATCCGACCTCGGGTGGAATTGCAAAGTGGTTTATGCGCGGAAAAAGGAGGTTGACTCGGGCCAGATTTGCCAACGACATTTCTCACGAGGAATCTCGAAATGGCCGTTTTGGACATGATTTATGCTCTCGGGTACAACTTGAGGCACTTTGCTGACGAGTGCTGTTCGTGGGTTTCAGCTGGCTGACGCTTATGAGGAGGTGGAGGAACAACGTCAGGTGGTTGGTCAATGGAAACGCCGGGTGCAAAAGTTGAACGGCGAGATGCACGACCTGCGACTCCTCCTGGAGGAACAAACCGCCAGGAACAATCTCCTGGAGAAGAAACAGCGGAAGTAAGTGCCAATTTCTCGAAGGTTTACAAAAAAGGAGAAAAAAAAATGGAAATTGAAAATTCACCTCACTGCCGTAATTAAGGTGAAGTGAAACCCCCTTCAAATTAGTCGATTCGAATACAACACTTTTTTTTTAAGGGTAAAAGACCAAACTGTCCGAAACTTTGACACATCACTCCTGATCATCTAAGAATTGTCCTGACACATTGAAAATTTGGATTTTTCAACAAAATTTTTTAACTCAGCTTAGACAAGAACCAAAATGGCGTCGAGCTCTCATATTTCGATCAATATACAATTATCGAATGCTCTAATATGAGAAACTAAAGGGTTAGGACAATTTTACGAGAATTTAGAACACTCTGGTAATCGATAAACTCGCATTTCAACGGGATAAAGGCAAAAAAAGTGTTGTATGCGCTTCTATGCTAAAACGATGAGAATACGAGGTCTCGGAGCGAAAATTTAATTGACCTGGACATCACAGATGGCGCAGGGGGTCCCTCTGCAGGTCAATTAGGGCCCCAGAAAGCACGAATCCAGAGGATTTCTGGAGTTTTACTTCGGTTTCTTGATATATATTGTACGAAAACGACAGGTGGAGTATGCCATTTGGTACAATACCCAATATAATTCGACCCAGCTGTCAATATAAAAACGAACGTCGGCAACGTAGGCATTTAGAAAAATCTTTATCGACGTCGATCAAGTTCCTCGACGTGTTTCACTTCACCTTAAGTCACCTCAATAAAAAGCGCGTAGAAAAGTCATCCAGTCTCGTAATAAAACATTTAACATACCTCGGCGAATGTATCCACGATTATGAAAGTGACCTAAGTAGTCCCATAGTGTTGCATATATTTAAATTCAAAAAAAATAATTTAGACCCTTTTCATATTTATGGGCACAAATGTGGAATTGAAAATTGCCCAGAAAATATGGTCGCAATATTCATTATTAGCGGCTATAGACCTTGTATCGATAATTTAATCGAGGAGGAACGGCGATATTCTTTTTAACAGTCGCTCAAAAATGATCTGGTACTTTAAAGAGCAATTCTTCTAACACAGTTGCCCCTATTCTTGCTCTTATTGCAATTATCGTTGTAATTGCATAGTAGGGGAAAAAAATTTCAGCGATACCGTTTTTCCTTAAAAATCATAGCATTTGTTTTTTTTTCCGAGTGGAGTTCGGATCCGGTGATTAGGATTTTTGGTATTTCTTAGTTTGTACCGTGATATAATTAGTTTGGAAATGAAACGAGGAAGCGTATCAAAGTAAATCTTAATTTGTACCAAAGAATGGCACAATGCGCCGGGCAAATCGGGGTTTCTTGATCCCTCGAGCTTCGAGCTTGAGCTTCCTAATTACGAACGTTCCGCGGAGACCCCTGAGGCTGGCCTGTAGAGACAAATTCGTTCTATTCTCATTTCATCCGCTTCAACAAGTGTTTGGCACTCGGCCAGTGCAGTGACTTACGGATGAACAGTTGTTCCCTTGCCAAGACGCAGACAGATCGAACGCTAAATGAACCGGAATAGCCGTAAGATTCTCCCTCTGTGCTCGGGAGGAGATCTTGAAGGTAACGCTGATGTTCCCCATAGGTTCGACTCCGAGACCCAGAACCTGATGGATGACTTGAGACAGGAGAAGGTGCAACGGGAAAGACTGGCTCGAGAAAAGGAGATCGCCATCGCCGAGAAATTCACCGTCGAGCAGAATCTCAGTGTAAGTGCGGTCGGGCCACTTCTGCTTGGTAACTATTTTCAAGAAAATGGGACGTTTCACGGACGGGAGAGTCGCAGCTCATTCGCCGCCGTTTTGACAGGGAAATAATAGAGGAACGGCAGATGATGCAGCCTCGACATATCTGCGATCTGGTTTATTTGCTGTATTTCGAATCGCTGGTCCAGTTACCGGGAAACGCGTACACATGGTCGAACAAGATCTTGGAAGAGAACTCGCAATTACGTCGGGCTGGCTGAATAATCTTTGACGGCGACGCAATTAAAACATTTTTCATCATCGATTACAACTTTAGTTAATAAAAATAAATCTTTAAATTCGCAGGACGCCAGGCTGGAGATCGAGTTGAAAGAGGAGAGACTGCATACCTTGACTCAGGAGCTGGAGGAGCTGACGTTCGGCGGAAAGACGGAAGAGGAAGTGGCTCAGCTGAAGAAGACGAAGCACGAGCTGGAGAAGAAGATGAAGGACCAAGAGGAAGAGCTCGATGATTTAGCTGGCCAGGTGCAATTGTTGGAACAGGCCAAGCTCAGGCTCGAGATGAGCATCGAGCAGCAGCGCAAAGAGATGCGGAAGGAGATGCAACAGAGAGACGAAGAGCTAGAAGATGTACGAGGCAATGCACACAAGAAGGTCAAAGCCCTTGAGGCTCAGTTGGAGACAGAACACGAAGAGAGAACCATTCTTCTTCGCGAAAAACACGAATTGGAAAGACGTCTGGTAGCTGTTGAAGAGCAAGATAGGACGGAACGAGCTGCCGAAGCTGAGACCGTTCAAAGGTCCGATCGAGTTTCAATACTTTCATCCGCGAGATTATCTTCTTCATCTTTTGCTCTACTTAACTTGGCAGATTCCTCAACGCTGCACTTATGCAATTTCTTGAACACTCTGTAACATCCATGACTTTGATGCGCTCTGCAAGTATGCACCAAAGAACCGGCGTTACTCGATCCTGAAGAAGTACGTGTTTCGATAGAATGTCCAGCTAGCAAGGACTAGTTTGCGAGTATCGAATAATTCGATAAGTACAGACCACGGAGAGGAAATCGGATTAAACGATGTCATTAAGATTCCCACAAGGCCTATTTATAAACGAGAGCGATACCGATCGCGCTCCTGGGCTGCAAGTCGATACCAGATATTTACCAACGTAGAATGCAATATATATATTTTATTATTGGGTTGGTATTATCGAATATACGGAGTAATATTTCGAGGATTATCCGATAATATCGGGTAGCTCCCGTAATATCGAGTAACTCTGTAATATCGGCAAATCGATGGTATCGGGCACCTGATACTTATCCGATTACCCGACATCATTGAACTACTTGATCTTAACGGGTATCTGAAGCCAGACCAAGCTGACTATAATAGATGGCCACACGCCTCTCGAAAATGGGCGATCCAAATATGAATCATGAAGCAATGTAACCGGTCGTATATATTTAACACCACATGGCGATTTCAGCTTGCAAGTACATCATGGTCATGCGTGTTGCAGACATCTAGGGTTACATTGAAAAATATATAAATCATCACGTCAATGTATGATTTTCGGTTTCATCAATTTTAACATGTTAAACGCGGAGTTAATTTTGTTGTACTTTCCATTTGGGCGGCACAATTTTATCCACATGGAATTTTTTAAGTTTCGGTCCTAAGAAATCGACGCTGCATTTAAAAGGATGTGAATGTAGCATCTGAGGGGTCCATTGTTCACGAAACTTTTCTCTGAACTGGGTGTATAAAATATTTTCAAACTGTACAACATGAATATAGAGGCTAGAAGGAAGGTCCTGACACTCATGAAATTTCATTTTTTCGAAAAAATGTTAAAGGTGTCTGTAAACAAATTTAAAAAAAAATGGAAATTTCATGGGGATCAGGACCTGCCTTACAGCTTTCATATTGACATAATAAAGTTTGAAACGATTCGGTACATCCACTTTGGAGGAAAGTTTCATAAACGAGACCTCTTCCAGGCCACTTCTACATCACCTTAACGTGTTAATAGAGATCGTTTTTCACGTTTTTAGACTTAAGCGAGACTTGAAGAAAACTAGGGCTCTCCTGAGGGATGCCCAGACCATGCTGGAGCGATCGAAGGGCGATTCCGCCGGGAAAGCAGTTCTACGACAACTGAAGAACCAACTCGAGGACGCGGAGTGCGCAAGAGCAGCAGCGGTAAAGGCGAAACAGGCTTTGGAGCAAGACTTGAATGAGACTCAAGCTGCCTTTGAGGAAGCTTCTCGTCTGCGCTCTGAAGCAGAAGAAAGGGCCAATGCTGCCTGCAGGGAACGAGCGGAATTGCGATCCCAGCTGGAAGAGAACGAGGAGGAGCTCGCTGAGGTTTGAAATCGCTTCTGGTACCCAAAGTCGACCAGTTAGCCGACTGAAATGTTGTTAACACCGATGTATGTTTAAATTAGGTGCTGAAGAAATACCGAGCAGCGGTGCAACAGGTGTCGGCGGAGCAGTCACAGCTACAGGAGGCTCAGGTGCAGATTTCCAACCTGGAGGCTGAGAAGTCTTCCCTGAAAGATCAGCTATCCGAGCTGAGCCAACGTTTAGAATCCGTTGAACAGCTTGGAGATCCCACGGCAAACAGTCTTGCTACCAGACGCTTGGAATTCCGCGCTAAAGAGCTGGAGAGCAAGCTGGAGCTGGAGCAGACGACCAGAGCTCGTTTGGAGGTTAGAATCCTGGTTAAAGAATTATTCGTGGACACCTGATGATCCCATAGAACCAGACAAGTCTGTTTTTTGCGTAATTCGATCTGGACTAGATTTGTTCCTACCATTTGCAGACTCAGATAGCTCGTTTGAAGGAGAGCTTGGACAAGCTGCAGACCGAGAACGCTCTTTTGAGGACCAAGGAACAAACCGCCCAAGACGCAGCGAGGAGGCTGCAGAGATCCCTACGAGAGTCGCGAGATGAGGCCTCTTCGGCGGCTGCTCGAGAGCAGGAGGCTGTGCGAGCTCGGAGGGACCTTGAAAAAACCTTGGAAGCTGCAGAAGCAGAGACCAAGGTCGCCAGAGACGACCTGAGACTCGCTCTTCAGAGGATCGACGACCTCCAGAGCGCGATTCAAGGGGAACTCGACTTGGACTGCAGCGAGGAGGCTACGACCGATAATAGCGATAGGTAAGATTCCAAGCGGAATCATTCCGAGTGATTTACTGCTCTCTATCGATAACTACTCCCTCGGACACCTTTCCTTTCAAAGCATCCGTACTCGATGCTGGTATGTCTTATGACGTTTATATTTTAACGCATATATCAAGTTTACGCATAAGTCAATCTCTAACGCATCGTGATTGGCTCGTGCTGGAGTTTTCCTACCAGTTCGTTAGGGTGGGACTTGAGCCTTCAGCATATGTCGGGTCAGTTATAGACTTACGTTATAAATTACTCATAAACAAGAAATAAAAAGACCATCCCCGGTGGCATCCGCTCGTTACAGGTAAAAGGCGCCTCCTCGGTTTATGGTGTGTCTACTCCGTCGGGATCGTTGCCTTTCATAGTGCTGATCAAGGCTCGTTCTTCATTCCAGTGACTGATCCGAGGACTCCAACAGCGACCTGGAGATCCAGGACGAGGATCCCTCTCCCACCGAGAGTTCAGTGCATCTCGGAGAAGGCTTTCCAAGGAATTGAAAGAACGTCGCCTGAGCCCCTCCGCGCTTGATAGACGTTGACACTTAGGAGACGTGTAGCTTTCGGTTGACTTTACTCATGACACTCATGGTATCACGTGCTCGCAATCATGGCGGCCTCTAGTATTATTTTCAGTACTCTAGGGCATATTGTGTAAGAGCGACCAACCTTGGCCCGGCTTCCTCGCGAGCCTGGGACCAGTCGGGACCTCGAGGAGAGCATGTCACGGAACGACATGTTTATGCATATTCGTCGTGTTCATTCCCGAGGATATGTGACCCCGCTTCGTGGCTGTCCTATATCTTCGCGTAACACGTAATCGGTGTTATTACTTATCTGGTGCTAGTACCTCCCCCTTTTCCAGCGACTCGTCTTCCATTCGTTACTCCTTAGGCTTAGCGTGGTCGTAAAATGCTATTCCTCGCGACATGCTTCTCTCGAAGGGCTCACGAGCGAGATTTCGAAGCCGTAGACCAGGAATTTTGCCGACATGTCGGCATGTCTCTTTCTTTTACGGTGTTTCTTGCGATGGGGCGACGGTTAACTTGTCGGCTAGCCGCGCGTTGGCGCTGCTGTCGACGTACCAGGAATTTTGTCGACACGTCGGCATGTCTCCTTTTTTTACGGTGTTTCCTACGATGGGGCGACGGTTAACTAGTCGGTGCGCCGCGCGATGGCGCTCCCGTCGACGTACCTTCGCCCCCCAGAACGTTTGTATAGAAAACGACGACGAACTTGCGGTTTACGAACATTGCGTTTAATCTTCGATTCCGCGTAAGGTTTCTCTTGTAACTTATTGCTTTGTAAAATGCAAATCTTATTTAATTAACCACCGGTCTGAGCATTTCTACCAGTCAGCCTGACCCCACTCTCGAGGTTCCCCGTTTGGATGTTCCATTGAGTAGGTTTAAGGAAATATAAGCGACCCGCGACGCAGAAGTATCTACAACGATGTTGCTTTTTCATTTACGAAACTGTATTACTGCGATCCAATTGGACAGCTGGATTTATGACCGATTGTTGTCGTTTTGAACCGTTGGTTGAGCGACCATGAATGAAGGAAGGGCGATCGCTCGTTAGGTGGTATTATTGTATAAAATGATTTCTCTTAAATATTTAACGTTTATTTATTGAAGAGAACCTGGTAAGGGTTGAATGTCTTTGGGGGAATTTAATTTTTCTCAGGTAAGTACTTCGCGTTATTTGTGTCGCGTCTTATGGAAAATCGCTTCTTGGACATTTTGAGAGGATACGGCGGAAGTGGCGATGACGGAAACGGAAGTCAAGAATTACTAATTGGATCAGTACGAGGAATGAAAAGGGGCGAGAAAGCTGAGCTGTAAATTAAGTTACATCTTAATAAGCTTCAAAACGGAACTTCAATCCACCTAGTTTCTTGCGCACTTGGTAAAATTACGAACTTCGTGGACCAGGAAAAGGAAGTAGACTTGTCGATTACTTTCCCTTAATGAACCAATAAACGTCAATTGTTTTCTTCGCACCTTACAGACTTAATAAAAGTAGCGAGAGAAGTTGGACGTTATTTTTCCTCTCGTTAAATTTCTCGAGACCGAGATGACGTCTCTCCACTTCAGGAGTATAATTTCTTTACATCTAACTAGGTAATTGTTAGGTCTTGCAATTTATTATGTCGTAGGCGTTATTGTATAGTATGTACCTGGTTACCAATTCAAGAACAAGTGCAAAACCGGACGGCATGACAAGTAGACATTTACGCCGCATGAAACTCTCTGAACAAGTACAGAAAGTAATAAATTATCCGTTGCAGAATCTATAAATTACTTTTACTGTACTTGCATTCAATGTAATGCTAGCGTGCATTCTCTTGCAATACATACGGCTACATGGACCTCGAAAGTGCACCCTAGGAGGATTGAAAAAACCTCCAGGCACGATTCTTCTGCATTTTCCAAAAGGATTCATACATAACAATTCGAAGAAAAAAAGAAATACGATCGTTTTGATAGGATCTCCTCTCAGTTATATCAATGGAATATTTTCATGGAATATTTCTTGCATGATGTATTGTAAGGTTCTGCGCTTTCTTCATTTTATTTATCGCCTCTTCTACTTAATGCCATCTCGGTATTTTTTTTCTGAATAATTAATGCTAATCTCGTTCGCGGTATTTCTCAAGAACGATATAATGGAAGGAGGGTCAGGGAAAGTCATCAGGTACTAAATTGACAGATAACGCGAAAATTCTCTTCGTACTTATCCGAACGAATGACTAACTGGCTATTGTGGGTCCTTAGGCCTTTGGTTCTCTAGAATTAAATTCAATAATTAACGGGGACCTTCCGGCTAATTAAAGGGACGTGAATTGCACTGCTGATAAGTGCTGCAATGCGAAAGGGTAAGCCTAATTGACGCTTACGTGGGAACAACTATCGTGCAAAAAGGGGAAAAGATTAACCGGATTAAACTCGCGGGTGGATTCATGTACGAGAGATAAAAAGAAAAAGATGGAGCGGGGAGTCGTGAGATAGCGAAGAGATAACGGAAGAATTAATGGCTCAATTAGCGGCGACATTTACTGCTTCGTTGTCGCCCGTTCATTGTTGTTAGGACGGAAGACCGAGAAAATGGATTGGCACTGTCGCGAGAAATAATTAACGTTTAGTTTTATTCATAAGTTTTTATTTAGTTGAAAAATACAGGGGGGGAGGGTTTATCGAAACAAATATGAGTCTTCCGGGGAAAAAGAAGACGAGGTAATTTTCATTCAATTATTCCGTGATTCATTTCGGCGCTGTTAATTAATCGTCCACGTTAATTAATCAATCTCTCTTTCGCAAGGGAGAAATATTATCTTAATCAATGCATGGTTTTGCATTACTTCTTTTTTTCCATCAAGGTCAGATTAAATATCGTTCGATCGCAAGTGTCAGGCGATAGCGTTAATTCAACTTCAGACCTTCGGTTTATCGAATATCAATTAGACCTCCACAAGATGCGACAGATGTATCACCAATTGTTCCATATTTCGAGTGCAAGGTCCAAGAAATTCAACATAAATTCCACTTGTACTGAAAAAAATAACCATAACTTAGATGTCTATTTCGCAATATTTTTTTTTTGAAATTTTGAAAATCATTTTCGAGATCACCTCTTCAATGTGTTCGCGCACCATGCTTATGCGTTTATACTCTTCACCTTCAGATGTCGCCACCATATCATTACGGGCTCTGGAATTCATAATTATTCCCTACTCGATCTAAACAATTCAAAATACAATGGACATTAAAATATCGAGATAGAGCAATAATAACACAGCTTTCACTCCTAGAAACTCAAGTTTCATACAAAATGGCGGAATGATTTGAAGAATAGGTACACAAGTAATTGGTGGAGGTTTTGAGAAATAACTCAGTGCCTCAGTTTTGCGTAAACATTTGGGAGAAACGTTGAAGACGGTTAATACAGAGTGCGATCGATGGACCATGCAGCCCCGAAAGCGTCGTTTCTGAGAGGAAGGAGAAACGTTATTAAAGTCGATGTCGCCCCTTGCAAGAGATGACACACTTTATCTCATTGTCCTCCTTGAAGCGGCCCTGAATGTCACCCAAGAGACAAAGCAAAATCCGGAAATATGTTCTTGGAAGGTAGAGCATGACGCGCGTTGAAAGCGAACATGACGGCCAAAAATATTAGGAAGAAGGTCCTCCCAGAATGTTCAGAAACTCCCCTTTAATCGCCTAGTCGATATGACGCGTGACCTTGAAACGGCAGCATCATCGTCTTCGTGACGAATAGTGCAGGTGGGAATTCTAACGGAAACGGGCAATTAGGCCGGCTTTCAATTACTTTCCATCGCTGGGCACTGTCATTAATGACGTCCGATACGGCCGATGGTACGCGGAGGTACATCGAATCGCCATTGCATCACGCGGATTTTCATCGTACGTGGTTAGCAATACGGTCCATGAAGCTCCCATTGAATTCGGTAACACGGGCAATTAAACGTTCCCTCAATCCGTGGAAATTCGCCCATTCGTCGGAGGAAAATGGACACCAGGGAGAGAATAATGCTCCGGTGTGCAACGCTGCGTGCGGTTACGTGGGACGCTGACAAAGGCTGCTCGGTGGGACTTTATTGAAACTTCATGTTTTTTTCCTTTCCAACATCATCCGAGAATTCTCATATTCGCTGGGGAAAATTTGCTATCCGGGAGGGAATCCCTCGGTGACTTGCTGTCACGATGAAAGGACAAGTTTTATTTTTCACTCATATTGTGTCTTGTGCCGCCATATTGCAATATGGCAGCGGTTCGTTTGCAAATATAATGACGAATTGAGTGTGTTTTGAAATTGAAGAATGCCTAGACGTCCGGTATAATCATGTACAATCTGGAAAGACGGATTATGCATTGTTGGATTTCATCTAAATTAAAATTGTTTACGTCGAATTCCTCGCTGTTTCCACTAATTGGTTGGTTAACATGGCCACGTTTTGGATGTGTACTATAATCAGTCCGTCAAAAGAGCTTCGTGTTTTTTTTTCCTTTCCAACATTATCCGTGAATTCCCATATTCACTGGGGAAAATTTGCTATCCGGGAGGGGATCCCTCAGTGACTTGCTGTCACGATGAAAGGACGACAAGTTTTATTTTTCACTCAGATTGTGTCTTGTGCCGCCATATTGCAATATGGCAGCGGTTCGTTTGCAAATATAATGACGAATTGAGTGTGTTTTGAAATTGAAAAATGCCTAGACGTCCGGTATAATCATGTACAATCTGGAAAAACGGAATACGTATTATGTCTGGTTAGCGCTGACGTGAATTCACGTCATTTTAAATTCTATTCTGGTTGGCGCTAACGTGAACTCACGTCATTTTAAATTCTATTCTGGTTGGCGCTGACGTGGATTCACGTCATTTTAAATTTAATTCTGATTGCCGCTGACGTGAATCACGTCCATAACGATACACGATACAAGTTTGCGGCAACCAGTTTTTGAATTTCATTATTTTCGCCGGTACTCAGTATTTGAAACGGAAAAAATTTGCCGGTCGCGAATGTGTTAAAATTGTTTACATCGAATTCGCCGCTGTTTCCACTAATTTGTTAGTAAACAAGACCATATTTTGGATGTGTACTATAATCGGTCCGTCAAAAGAGCTGGTAGCATACTTTGGGTTTTTTGCATCATCCATACAGTTACCTAGAACGTTGACAAAAATCTCCTGGTATTAGTTTATCAGGATATTAATATTTTCCAAAGCTAACTAAGAATAAGAGAAAGGAAAAGCTCGCCATTCTAAGTGACGCTTTTCGTCCGCCATCTTCCAATTCTTGAGAGCTAGCGTGTTGCTTCGTTAAACGAACTTTCCGTTCTCATCCGCAGCTTTTGCCGCAGTCTCAGCTGACAACGAAACGCGGTTTGCTCCGGACAGGTGTGACATGCGGCTCACTCAAGCGAGTATTCCACCATGAGTCCAGTAAACTCTGGATAACTCGTTGCGCGTTACGCTCGGAAACCTGATTTCCGCCAAACGTAACGATGCACCTCGACTTTCCGTTCGAGCATAAGCCTCCATTTTGCGTAAACAAATTGCCATTGAAAACCACATTACATTCCACCATCAACGGTATTTCTTCGGCGGGGCAGAAGTTTTTAATAACCGCGCATTTATTTCCGTTGAACCACCCGTGGATAGAAAAATCCTGTAAAATATTAACTAAAATACTTGTACAATTTTATGATAAAATTGAAAATTGCATCAAGTAGAAGATGGATTTTCAGGGACGACGTGGCTCGTTTATGGATATTCTGGAGGCGAATATTTCCTTGAGTGAACGTCTTTTGCAGGCTGCTTACTAGTGCGTTTCTCGCTGTAAGTCGGAAATGGCTTAAATTTTACGACTCCCCTGCATATTTTGAGAAGTAATGTTAGTGTGATAAAATTCCCTGCGGAAAACGAGTTGCCTTCAGTCGCGCGCGGAAAACCCACGTTTGTCCAGGTATGACTTCGAGGCGGTGCAGAATTCTTGGATGAAATTCTTACTGCGTCGTTCGTCGGTGTAGTGAATACAGAAAGTGTCATAATTGTAGGACGTGTTTTTGGGAGGGATAATAAATAATTTGTTTAACGGGTAACACGTACGATGTCGAGAACGAGCCTGTACGACCAAACTACCGATTCATCTGCCGTAGACTGAATTAGCTCTCTTTCATTGGATAACGCAAGACTTCCCTCCATAATGACCAAAGTCATCAATTATTCGCAGCAGATCGAGTTTCCAGGAGCCGAGTGGACCCTCAAGGGAGGCAAGGTAAGAAGGCCGAGTCCGAAGAATCCTCCCTGGTCGTCCATTTTGTCCTCCGTCGATAACTTGGTACCTCGCAGTCCGGCCGATTCCGGTTACCTACTTTAGCGTTAGTCGCGGCCAGCGCAACGTCGGCGATGTAATTAACAATAATCAGATTAAGGTCAATTACGCTACCGAGTCAATCGAGGTTGGGCGATTACAAGTACCGAATAAATAGGGAGCTTAAACCTGACAGCGGTGGAGAAGTCGCGGCGATTCGTGCGCGAAAGACACAAAATGGCGGCACTTGCCGGGTACCCTTGTTAACATGTACCACTCATATCATAATTAATCATACATCAATACAGAATTTACACATACGCGTTTTTAACTATTTCCAAGTACAGAAATGATCACTATGTATCGAAGTGATTATCTTAAAACAAGATAAAATTAGATAACTCGGAATGTCGCAGTCGCAAGGTCCCCGCGAGAAGATATTCGCTGGGTAACCCCGTTAACATCTATCATACGTATAATTAATCATACATTAATACAGAATTTACACATACGCGTTCTTAACTAACTATTCCTAAGTACAGAAATTATCTCAATATATCGGAGTGATTATCTTAAAACGAGATAAAATTAGGTAAATCGGAATGTCGCAGTCACAAGGTCCCCGCGAAAAGATATTCCCTGGGTAACCCCGTTAACATCTCTCACACATATAATGAATCATACATTAATACAGAATTTACACAGACGCGTTCTTAACTAACTATTCCTAAGTACAGAAATTATCTCAATATATCGGAGTGATTATCTTAAAACGAGATAAAATTAGGCAAATCGGAATGTCGCAGTCGCAAGGTCCCGCGAGAAGATATTCCCTGGGTAACCCCTTTAACATCTATCATACATATAATTAATCATACATTAATACGGAATTTACACATACGCGTTCTGAACTATTCCTAAGTACAGAAATTATCTCAATATATCGGAGTGATTATCTTAAAACGAGATAAAATTAGGTTAATCGGAATGTCGCTGTCACAAGCTCCCCGCGGGGAGACATTCGGTTGAGAGTCGGGGAAGGATCGTCGGTATCGAAATTTCAGCTGAACTCTCGATACGGAGTCGACTCGTCGATGGTGGTCGTCTCGGAGGCCTCGAGCGCCGCGACGGTGGTGATTACGGCAACGAAGACGGGGCGCGTCTTACTCGGGCGAGGAGTCGCGCGCGAGAGCGCGTCCCGTGTGGAGTGAGCGCGGTTTACGTACGTACGATTATAAATATCGTGGGAGCCAGTGGGCGCGCATGCGCAGTAGCGCGACTGTTTCCGCCGTGCCTCGAGCGCAAGTCGGCAGCCTTTTCGACAGTGATTGGCGGCGGTTCGATCGATCGATAGTTCTCGAGGCCTGATCGAAACCACTCGACAGGAAGGATGACCGAGACCACCGATTCTCTGGTAAGGGCTTCCGGAATGTGGCGGCGCGCGGCCCCCAGGCGGCACCACGTGTGCTTTTTAGGTTACCTCCGAAAACCTTGCGATGAGATGCGCGCGCACGCGCGCCACGCGGACCGACCGAGGTGCGCAGAGCCTCGTGTCGTCTTTGATTTTCAATATTTGAAAACTATTCGATCACATGGTTTGTGCTATATATAATGTAAATCGAAAACACATGGTTTATGCGATACGTAATGTAAATATAAAATCGGTGTACGTTGGAATGAAACTTTTAAGCTAACGAGGACGATCGGATGTTAATTATTTCTCCCGGGAAATGCGCTCACGCGGATTTTGTGCTGTCATTCTCCTTATTTTTATTGATTTTTATTCCACTCGGAATGTAATTTACTGACAGAATAACGCGAAAAGAGGAATCAAATATAGAGATTAATGTAAATGGTAATTGTATGTAGAAAAATGCATTTGACCTTTTGAAATAGCTCCTTTCATGGCGTGTGGAGATATACGTTCTACTGCCCCGTAAGGAATTTCATTTAAAAATATTTAATTGTGAAATGTTTGACTTGTAACATTGAAAGAAGTATTCAAACTGGGAAGAAATATTAGAAATGCATCCGGAGACTGGTTAAAGAGAGTGTTATAGAGCATTCATTTAATTTTACAATTAATTCTTTTAATTTCTGAACGAAGTTTTGAATGTTTATTTTTTTCAAAAGAGGCTGTGAATCCGAACACTTGTTCGGATCAAACAACGGATATAACAACTGTGTGTTGAGTCAATAAAATCGAGGAAAGAAACGCTTTCAACGTCGTTTCGGGCCGGACGCCATTTTTAATTAAAAATGTTTGCGGAACCTCCCGGCTAATATAGAATACTGTTTGTTTGTTTGTGTTCTCTCGGCAATGATGTTTCGTTATGTACCGGGACGTGGTGATAACCTCGATAATGCCGTGTACTTTCTTTGTCATAGATTGGAACCCCGGAGGAGCCGCCCAAAATCCAAGTTCTCGTGATGGACAAGCAGACCAACAGAACGCAATGGAAACAGTGGCTTGCTTGCGTGTCAGGTTAGTTTTAATCTTTCAGGATTTACGGCTGTCGGTGGCCAACTTAGTTCTGATATCTTATCGCCCCCAACAGATTCATCCAGTAGAGCCTGTTCCTGATTGGTGCGACTAAACATCGACGAATCTATCTCTAACACTTACTCTATATTTGCCATTTCTCTCTCAAAGAGAGAATTTTCATCGATGCAATCTGAATTAATTGGCCTTGGTCTCATCGCTCCGATTGAATTAGTTACATATTTTTATTACACAATATAGAACAAAAATTTTGGTCGGATTTATTTCTCACACGTACGCTATATCTGTAATTCCTCTCCCAAAGTAAGAATTTCCTCGTATGCGGTGATAATATCAATTAATTGACTTTGATCTCATTGCCCCAATTGAATTACCTACATGTTTCTATTACACAATATAGATAACAATTTTCGTCCGATTTATCTTTCACGCATACGCTATATCTGTAATTCCTCTCCCAAAGTAAGAATCCCCTCGTATGCGGAGATAATCTCAATTAATTGAACTTGGTCTTAATATTCTGATCGAATTATTTCATTATTAATATCTATTACACAATAACAAATACAATTTTCGACGAATTTATCTCTCACAACGCTACATCTGCCCTTTTACTCCAAAAGAGAGATTTTCCACGGATATGAAGATGACAAAAATTAATTCCTCTTGACCTCCTCAGTTATCTGATTTAATTTGTATTGCAATTGAAGAGCTTTGTATTATACTATTCATGCGGAATTTTGTAAAAGTCAATTTTGAGCTTCACGATAATGTAACGATCGTACAGTACTCTCAGAAGCCTTATCTCATTCAGGGGCAATTACGTTCCACTAATTGACTCCGACGTTATCGAGTGATTATTTTTCCCTACTATTCGACAAGTTTATCAGATGAAATTTCCTGTCATTTACATAAGATCTCGCTGAGTATTTTTCTCAAACTCCTCCGCAGTCCGGTTTATTACTCCGATTAGAATTTCATGAATATGTATGGAATGAGATCACAAATGCCAGATCCCATGTAAGTCTTGACGATAAATCGATTTCCTCCGAAACCTCGATTTACGTTGTTTGCAGGCGTAATCGCGCGAAATGTGTAATTGTCGATGCGTGCAATGTCTCCGATCGGAGTTTCGGGAATTAAAAACGAAAATTCAACGCATTATATACGTTACACGTTGGGGTCAACTCACGCATAATCGACGTTGAACAAGATGGCGACCTAAGAAGAATATTTAGTTTTGATTTCTAGATTGACGGTTTCAACGAGGACATATGAGCCTGGCTGGTCATAATAAGATCAGAGGAGCCTTGACTCAATACCGCGGGTTAAGAAATTCCAGTTTCTGCGATAAAATCAATGAAACTGAACCATAAATGTCTGGAACTCTATCGCATCATATTTCCTCTGCGAAATACTCTTGATGTATAATTTGCGACACGATAAATGTAGGCCTTGAGTGGTTTAAACAGCTGGTTAGATGATGTCTAAATGCAGAAGTTAGGATATTTGCTTTGATTGTACTCGGGTTAAGAAATAAACCTTGGAACGTATCTACTCTCGTAATATTTCGAGATCTCTCGAGATTTATTATAGATGGCGACGCTCTCCGATGTCTGTTCATAAACGAAATGGAAATTATTTTCCAAACTTGCTGTCTCACTTCAAGGCAATAGCTCGTTAATTGCTTGCCTGTCCTTCGTCATTAAAACTTATTTATTTGTTGAATTAATCCCGCGGTTATGAACCTAGCGCCGAATGGGTAGATCTATTTAAAATGTATTAAGGTTATATGAGAGTGCCGTCTGCGGGATTCGTTTATGAAACTTCTCTAGATTGGATATAACGTATCTGAAATTCCACCTCCTGAATATGGAGAACCTGAGGAAGGTTCTTACACCCATGAAATTTCATTTTTTCTTAATAATTTTCTATCAACGTTTAAAAAATGTTATTATGAAAAGTGAAACTTCATGGATGTCAGGATCTCCCTCAGGGCCTCTATATCCACGTGGCAAATTTTCAAATGATTTGGTAAATTGCATTTGACTGACTCCTCCAATCTTACTTTCATATCACTTTAACTCCTACAATTTCTTTTTGAAAGCTTTCACAGGCTCGTAGCAGACTTCAGGAATGACTCAACAGTGGCCGAAGGATGATGAATACTTTTTAGGTTTTGTTCCATTTTGACTTTTGGGAATATTTGAGGATTGATTCTGGTTTTCAGCGACCCTGTCCATGGTAGCTGTGGGAACGGTGTTTGGGTGGACCACCACCAACATCTCGAGGTTGATGTACGATGCGGACGCCCCTGTGCGGATCACCACCGACGAAAGTTCCTGGATAGTAGCCCTGACGGTGATAGGATCCATGATAGGACCCTTCCTGGGTGCCTGGCTGGCAGACAAATTCGGACGAAAGCGATGTTTGTTAATGTCCAGCCTCTTCTACATCGCGGGATGGCTGATGGTGGTCTTTGCTACCAACGTGGCGATGCTCTACGTCTCCAGGATCATCTTAGGCGTTGGCGTGGGGATGTCCTACACGACGAATCCGATGTACGTCTCGGAAGTGGCGGACGTGAACATCCGTGGAGCTCTAGGAACGCTGATAGCAGTGAACGTGTTCACCGGTTCCCTGCTAGCCTGCAGTATAGGTCCCTGGGTGTCCGTCAGGTTCCTGAGTGCACTTCTGCTGTTGGTACCGGTTCTCTTCGTGGTCACCTTCGTCTGGTTCCCGGAAAGTCCTTACTATCTAGCCAGCCAGGGAAGAGACGAAGAGGCCCTGCGATCGCTGGCATTCTTCAAGGGAATCGAAGACAAAGAAGAAGCCAGGAGGGAGTTGGACCTGGTGCAGAAGAACATCCACGAGAACAGCGAGGATGGCCAGCATTGGAGGGACAAACTGCTGCAGCTGCTCCTGCCAAACAATAGGCGAGCCCTCGTCATCGTCATCGGGCTGATAGTTGGTCAGCAGTTGAGTGGAAGTTTCAGTACCATGCAGTACTTGGAAACCCTCTTCAGGGAAGCCAACATCGGGATCGACTCCAACGTCGCAACCATCATCGTCCTGGCTATGGGACTGATTTCTGGGAGCCTGGCGACCATGACGGTGGAGGGTGCTGGTAGGAGACCCTTGCTGATGATCTCTACCTTAGGATCCTCCGTGACGCTGGCCATATTAGCGGGATATCTTTTCCTGAACGGTCAGGGGGTCGACGTATCCTCGGTTAATCTTCTGCCGGTGGTTGATGTTATAGTATTTCAGATTGCTTATCAAGTTGGACTTGGTACACTGCCCAATGCATTGATCGGGGAACTGTTTCCTACCAACGTGAAGGGAATTGCTGGAGCTACCATCACCGTTTCCGATGGACTCCTGGGATTCGCAGTGTCCAAGCTGTATCAGGTGTTGGGGGACTCCTTTGGCAAGCACGTCGTGTACTTCACCTTCGCAGGGTCCTGCTTCGTCATCTTCCTGTTCGTCGTGGCTTTCGTGCCGGAGACAAAGAGCAAGACTTTCAGCGAGATCCAAGACTTGCTCCGGCAGAAGAGGATCAGGTGCGGCAAGAAAAGGAGAGACCAAGCGTGAGGAACCGAACTCTAGGCAGGGAATGGAACTCGTTCGATTCCTTTCTGGAACTTGAACCTTCAGGTTTCAAGGGACGGAAACTTCAATGCTGACGAGTCCAGTTGGGACGAAGAACTTCTCTAACTTACCAAGTGCCTTAGCATTCTTCCGGAAGTGGAGTTCTCGAAGCGCATTTGGGTTCCACTTTCTCGCGAGCCATTTCATATTGACGGAATTTCGCTCATAGATTTTTTATCCATTGAACGTTGAACCCTTATAACCATAAACTTATCCGAAGACACGCCTTGCGAATGGTGCAAGACGCTGAAGAGAGTGTACACTCATCTCCACTTTTACGGCTACCATGGGTGGTCATTTTTAAATCTGTAGCAGGAAGCTCTGGCTTCTTCAAGTTTCGACATTACGAATCTTCGTAATTACTTCCTGCTTCCTACTTTTGTACATACTTGAATTTCTTCACTCGCCCTAATTCTAGAAGTAGATGTATTAATATTCATCCTAACCTTGCTCTATATCTTGCCAATTAGATTTATTATTTTCTTAATTATATTACGGGAAAGGTTAATAGAAATAAGCTATCATTGACGTAGTGTTCCGAGTTTTATCAGATTTTCAACTGATTCCATTCAGCTTCCGACGTTTTTCTCGCTAAGCTGCGTCAGGATGCAATTTCGTTCCGTGTCAGATAACAAACCGTATGATAGACCGCAAACTGCGTTGTCGGTATTCAAATCGCACTATGAAATTAACATTTACCTTTGTGGACGAGTGTTTGTGAGATTTTACCCGCGAACCATATTGTGAGCTCTTCCATGATCGCTGACAACGAATGTCACTTGTGCTACGAAAATACTTTCAATACTAGTCGGTGCATCCTACTTTACTGATTGAACCTCTCAATGGATTACCATGTAGATTATGTACATAAGAATTACCGCCGGCGATATATGCGCACTAGTAGGCATCTACGTCATGCCCGATGCAAACCGGCGAATGTAATGTACTTGTAAATACCATTAATGAAGATATCCGCCCTTCTGGCGTTTGTTATCCTTTCTTTGTGATGGGCTCCGAACATTTAATGGATTCGAAATGTTTTGCACTCTGCAATCTAGAGTTTCTCTTTCTACGCCGTTATTGCGAAAAAGCTATCTCGAAATAATGCTTCCCAGAGGACTTTGAACGTTTCGCGCACCTTTCAGGAGAAATACTATCTCTAATTTCGCAAATGTACTGCGGTTTTTGTAAGGAAAAAAAAAAATTAAAAAAAAATAAAAGAAAGGAAGAAAAAAATAAATGGTTTCGCAACGCACGAGTTTCGCCATGTTTCAACCGTGGTATTGCTAATTATTATTCAGTTCACTGCTCCCATTTCGCTCTCATCATCGGTATCTTTATCGCGCTTTTACCGAGGTCGTAATATCACGGCACGCTAAGGAATTACGAGGAAAGATATTAAAGGCTCGTTGTTATCTTCTTTAATATTGCGGCTTTCGTTATCGATGACCCCGTAGCGGCTGTACCGATTTCTTATTTCATTTCCAAATTTTTATCGCCGTGCGACTATTCCAACATTATCGGTCGAATTTCTAGAACGACGCCGACTATTCGCGATGCGTTAATCGAATGGAAAATATATTCCAACGAATTGGATGGGGGACAATGGATGCAAGGGTTGGATGCAAGGGGAAAAAAGGTAGAATAAATAGTCGGGTGGGCTTCGAGGCCGATAAACAATGGAAATGTTCCCTCAAACGTGGGCTGACCAATTTTAATAAAGAAATTCAAACGAGGCGGCCTGCTGGATTCAATTCCATGGACCAATTTCTGCATCTCGTCAAAGGCATTCTGCAGCTGCAGAATCCGAGCCAGCCCATTCTGCGAGTAACATTCGGGAAACTATTTTTTAAATCCACCGAAGGGCTACTTGCGACCCCCCAGGGATACTGTTCAAATTGTCGATGTAATCAATGTAATTTTCCCACTTGGGGATGAGATAATGAAATTCTTCATTTTTATCTCCTAGTTTGAGTAAATATTTTAAATTCCTCGCGTTATCCGGAGAACGCGAGGTCGAGAGGTTACGTGGGTCATGGTGCAATTGTCACGAGACAGATTTGCATTGACATCGACTGCACCAAACATTTACCTTGTGCACAGCATCCATTCGTCGGTCACATTTCATTATACTTTTAGCAGGGCAAATTTTTCGCCTTTTTATACTTCTGCATTTAATATTTAAATATTTTTTAAATCCATTAATCGAACTTGCACATATCACTCTCATGTCAGTCTAATTTTCCCATTCGTGGACAGAATTGTAACGCTCTATATTTTTCAGTCATGATACATGGAAATATTTTCAATCATAGTGCATTCGTCACGAGGCAGAATTGCATCGCCGTCGAATGCAGCGAACGTTCATCTTGCGTATATCACTCCAATCCATTCAATTGTAACTTTTCAATGTACCACCCGTGGTGCAAATTCCTCGTCTTTGTTCGGCAGACATTTGCAGCGACATTAGTCGCGTCTCTCGCCGATACTCTGCAATTTTTTGCCCTCGTTCACGTGCGTAACACATCGTAACACATAAACCAGGAAACGTACATTGTCATTGTTTAGTCGACAGTGCGGTGGAACAACGAGACGACCTCGAGTACATTCGAGATCGCGGTGTACCATTTTCCTATTCCATCATCGTGCGAATCCATATCCTCTATTTGCACGCGGGAATAAAACATTTTCCCATACGTCAACGATATATATATTTCAGTTAACTAATTCTTATTTCTCAGTGCAGAATTTTTTTTTGTCATTGTTGACTTGACAGTGCAATGGAATAATGAGAACACCAGAAAAGTCCAATATTCGTCGAAACATTCCTGGGACTTGTATCAAGGGCGTGGGCAATTCTCTCTATTTTTTCTTCTACGTAGAGAATTTTTTATTTCCACTTTGTGGGTGAAGAAAAAAACGCTTCGAAAGTGTGGAGGAAGAGGCGTCGTTTGAGCGTGCCGGAAGTTCTTTGCTCTTTAAAGTGACTCCACGATGAACTTCCCTCGAGCTTTCTCCTAACGTTTTCTTAAAGCTGCGTCAGGTTTTTGTTCCTTAAGTTGGCCGAGGCCGCAAGCTCGAAATTTCCTCCGCAAGCTATGAGTCTGCAATGGCCAAGCGTTGCTGATATGTGCCCTGGCAATTTCAGGAATCTCAGTCGGTATGGAGGGCAGCTTCCTGCGAGGCACGCTGGCTTGCCCAGTCCTGCATCTCAAATGTCTACATACACAGACATGTATACTCACCGATGCGGATTTACGTTTAAACCCGCTTGAAATTCGAGTAGAAATTTCGCCAATAGATATGGAAATTAAATTAGGAAATATTTAAAATGAATTATCCTCCGAATTTGATCACCCTTTAACGTTCCACCGCCAACAGCAATTGATGTATAATACTTTAAAATCCAGAATGCAAAATTTAGTACGATTTTCTGAAAATAGGAACATTCAAAGTACAACCGTGTGAACCTCTAGGGATAACATCAAAGGCACATACAATTGAATACTGCGTTTTTAAGTAATATTTGAGCTTTGAGTATTACCTTTAAGGGGATGCGAAAGTGGCTTCTGAGAGGTCAATGATCCGTGAAGCTTTTCCCCGAACTGGATGTACCGAAACGTTTCGATCTTTACGACTTGAATATGGAGGCTACAAGGAAGATCCCGATACCTATGAAATTTAATTTTTTATAAAAAATGTTAAAAGCGTCTGTAAAAAAATTGAAAAAAAAATTGGGTGTCAAAATCGTGGGTGTCAAGAAGTTCCTTATGACCTCCATCTTCACGTTGTAATGTTTGAAACGATTCGGTACATTCAGTCCGGGAAAAAGTTTCATAAACGAGACTTCTTTGATGCCACTTTCATGTCACCTTAAAGGGTGGCAAGAAAAATTCAACATTAAGTTAAAAAAAAATTGGGTGTCAAAATCGTGGGTGTCAAGAAGTTTCTTATGACCTCCATCTTCACGTTGTAATGTTTGAAACGATTCGGTACATTCAGTCCGGGAAAAAGTTTCATAAACGAGACTTCTTTGACGCTACTTTCATATCACTTTAAAGTCTCGCAAGAAAAATTCAACATTAAGTTAATGACGCGCTGCCCTTATTTACAGGGTACTTCATGTGTATCCGCAAACAAAGAGGGTCAAATGGAGGCAGGTGAAACGGGCCGAAGGTGTCTATACAATTTCTATACAATTTCGACATAATGCGCGACTTCGGGGGGAGGCCTCTGCCCCGAGGATGGGTAGGATGGGTTTGAGCTTCAATTTACATTCACGTGCCCCATGTGCACATAATTCACGTACGTAAATACGTTAAAGTGTCCGTGCATTATGTGCCTGACTTATTTACGAGCACGTGTGGGCATATATGTGACCTATTTCTAAATACGAGCGGTCTTCTGATTCCGAGTTGAGCGGGCCCGCGTTAAAGTATCACTGCGGATAAAACGCACCGCTCCAGTTTCAACCCCTCTATGCGAAAAGGCTCTTCCTCCCCTCCCCTTCATGTTGTTATAAACGCTCATACGTGTCTACGATACACGTAAGACTTTTTCATACTTCGTGCATAAAGGCGCCGTGGCCCGCCCATATTGAGTGCAGGATCTGGGGTGCATTTCCCGATAGTGCACCCCGGGATGCACCGATTCGAAAAAACACTGGCACGGGACGTTTGGCGGGATTTCTCGATATCGAAAAAGGATCAAGAGAGAAAAATCGCACATATTGTACTGTTCCATCTGGAGAGAAAAAATAAATGGCGAACGGGAACCACAGTGACTTACCGTGCACTTTCCACCGTTCGCAGTGATTGAGTACCCTCTTTACATTCCTAAATAAATTAGGAAGAAAAAAGGAAGAATTGTCTTGGAGAAGTGTAGACGTTTTATTTAAATTCGAGGGCAAAAAGCAAAAGTACGTAATGATGGTGGAGATAAAATTGGCCGATTAGACGAACATGTCATGCACCGTGAATGTTTTACTGTCACGCAGTGATCGAGTACTCCTGCAATGTTCACAAACAATTCAAAAGAAATAAGGAAGGAATGTCTTAAAGAGGTGCACACTTTTTATTTAGATCCGAGGGCGAAAAGTAGAGGTATGTCATGATGGTGGAGATAAAATTGACCGATTAGACGATCCAGTTGAGCAATCACGTTGTGTTTCTGGCCCGTTGAGTGACGGCGCGTGCAGCGCCCTGCAAGCTCGGTATCCGGCACGATCGAAATTGTTTTCGTGCAGCACAAGATTGATTCATCACTACCTGGCACACTTCCCTCTCTTCCATCTTTCTCGCTCGATATTTTGTTCCCTTATTTTTACCTTCTTTCCTGAATTTTCTTCTTCTCACGGCTGAAAAAGATCTATATTCACGAAGACCCTCGTAGAGATATGCAGACTCCTCAAAGACGCCATCTTTGTTTTTTGCGTTTTCAAGATACGCTCCTGTTACTCGTCGTTCTTTTTTTAATTTCTTGTTTTTCAAATTTATGGCTGTGTCCAATGTTGAATTTTATTCGAATTGAAAGAAAGAGACGGTTTTTCGTGAGAATCAACTGCCAATTTGACATGCTCCATGTAGACTCCTCAAAGACGCCATCTTTGTTTTCTACGTTTACTAGATCCTTTCTTACAACTCGGCGTTCTTTTTGTAATTTCTTGTTTTTCAATTGTATGGAAAGTTTCAACGTTCAGTTTTACTTGAATTGAAAGCAAGAGACAGTCTTTCGTGGGAATCAACCTCGAAGTCGACCTACTCCATGCAGACCCCTCAAAGACGCCATCTTTGTTTTCTATTTTCTACGTTTTCAAGATACTCTCTTCTTACGCGGCGTTCTTTTTGTAATCTCTTGTTCTTCAATATGGAAGGTTTCAATGTTCAGTTTTACTCTAATTGAGAGCAAGAAACGGTTTTTCGTGGGAATCAATGGTCGAATCGACATGCTCGAGGTCGCGAACAACGATCATCCCCTGATGCGCAGACTGAGCGTCACGAAACGGCTCGGCGACTCGAATAATCCCGATTACTGTCCAGTGACGCAACAATAATTATCACCGGTGGGAATCCGTCCTTCCGTGAATCGAAGCTCGTTCGCATCTCTGGTGTGACAGCGCGACAGCCCGATGAATTATGCAAGCAACTGCCGCAGGAAGTATGCGGCATCGCTCGGCGTCGCGACGCCATCGATACGTCGACACGCGATGTCCCACGCGGCCTTATGCGTCGATTGCATCTTCCTAGTTTAGATAAT